ACAACTCAAATATCCTTCAATGAGTGAATGGATAAACAAACTGTGGTAATCTGTACAATGGAATTACAATAAAATATTATTGCTTTTAATACAGCAATAAAAAAGCACTACTGATCTACACAAGATGAGTCAAATGCATTTTGCAAAGTAAAAAAAATCAGACCCAAAAGTCTGTTACATATTTCATGATTCCATTTGTGTGACAGTCTAGAAAGGCAAAACTCTAGGGAAGAAAACAGACCAGGGACTGCCGGGGGTGAGTGAGGGGTCAGGGGAAAGACTGTCTCCAAAGGAACGGCATGGAGGAGTTTTGGGATTGATGGAACTGCTCATATGAAACTGTAGCAATAGATAGAATTGTAAAGCACAGAAAGTGAAGTTTAGAAGTACATAAATTTTTAAAGGTCAACCAGGATATGAGGCAAAGATGGAACGCAGAATGTGACTAACGAATCTAACTATATTATAAATGAATCATGTACTCACACTGAAGAGTATGGGGCAGGGAGATGCTGACTTAAGAAACTTTAGCAAACGGCAGTTTTGTCTAGATATTTTAATGATAAATTCAAAACTGCAGATAAACACTGTACTCTGGTTGCAGAATATGTTTTTCATGTGGGTATGGGTTATGAATTCTGAAACTACTTTATTTATATACTAGGGTAAATATATTGTAGATAATGAGAGCCAGTTTTATCGCTATTAGAGACAGAAGTTACAAATAAAGAAAGGGAAAAGGCTAGAATCAACTCTGTGGATCCGTACTGGAGTCAGAGGTATCAATATGGACACATGGCTTAAAACACACACACACATTAAAAGATACAGATATGAGTATACACATAAGTTAACATATCTACCTATATTTCTTAGCTTTATTCACTGAGAAAGGCTAAACACAGCAACATCCCACCAGCAGTGAGCATGCCAGGTACTTACATCTTGCTTTCTAAATACTATTCTTCTTCCTCCCTTCAAAAATAAGAGGGTTTTTTGGCTGGGCATGGTGGCTCACATCTGTAAATCCCAGCATTTTGGGAGGCCGAGACGGGCAGATCACCTGAGGTCAGGAGTTCAAGACCAGCCTGGCCAACATGGTGAAACCCCATCTCTACTAAAAATACAGAAAATTAGCTGGGCGTGGTGGCACGGACCTGTAATCCCAGCTACTCTGGAGGCTGAGGCAGGTGAATTGCTTGAATCCACGAGGTGGAGGTTGCAGTGAGCCAAGATCATGCCACTGCACTCCAGCCTGGGCGACAGAGCAAGACTCCCCTCAAAAAGGAAAAAAAAAAAAAAAAAAAAAAAAACAAAACCGAGGGTTTTTTAATGAAACAGCTGATTCCAGGTCTGGGGCAGGGTACAGGAGCCAACCTGAAAGTGCTCCAAATAGCTAAAAAGAGAATTTGAGCAACAAAAATAGTAATGGTAGCATTGGATTATAATCCAAATAATGAAATAAACACTTATGAGTCTACAATAATGCAAATAAATAACCTAAGGCAGAATAAATGAGGGAAGAACAATTCTCCTTACAGAGGAATTCCAATTAACAAATGTAGAAGAGATGGAAGGCATGAAAAAATTAAAACACCACAGTAATAACTGCTACAGCCAAGATCCACTCATGAATGCTAAAATTAGTACTCAAAGTTTAAGTAGAAACAGGTTATTTGCACAGTCTAACAAAATCTCCCTCAAATGTTTAGTATCTCCAAAGGAAAAACAGTAACTTTACAGTGGAGAATCTTAGCAGATACCACTTTAGCCAAGTGACCAAGGTTAACATCACCAGTAACGCATATCAACATAATGTGCTCTCTGTTGCGACGCACTGAGAATGCATAACCCTAATCTAACCTTGAAACATCAAACAATGCTAAATTGAAGAAGCTTCTTCAAAATAACTTATTAGCACTCTTCAAAGTGTCAAGGTCATGGAAGACAAAAAAAGACTGGGAAACTGTCATAGATTGGAGGAGTCTAAGACCTGACAACTAAAATGCAAGATGGAATCCTGGGTTGGATCTCAAACAAAAAAGTTCATTTGTGGAAAAACCTGGTGAAATCAATGTTATATAGTTTTATACCAAGAAGAATTTCTTATTTTGATAAATATTTTATGGTTATATTATGGTAAGATGTTAAATGGAAGCTTCAGTAAAGGTTACATGGACAACATCCCCCAATGACACCTACCTCTTGGTATTCAGGACCCTGTGTAATTCCCAACCCTTGGGTGAGAGCTTTAGACAGTGACTCATTTCTACTGAAGAGAATGTGGCAGAGGTGACGAGATGACACATCCAAGGGTAGGTAACAAAAAGACTGTGGCTTTTGTCTTGGGCACCCTCTCTTGCCCTCTCACTGCCTCACTGAGGGAAGCTTAGGTGTCATATTATGAGTGCCTTATAGAAGCAAAAAGCCCATGTCTCTGGCCAACATGCGAGTGAGGCTGGAAGCATATCCTCTCAGGCAAGCCCTGTGATGAGACCACATTTGTAGCCAATACTTTGTTTGCAACCTTGTGAGACAACCTAAGCCAGAGGTACCCAAATAAGCTACATTTAGATTTCTGACCTACATAAATTTTCAGATGTTTATTAAGTTGCTACATTTCAGGGTAACACGATACACAGCAACAGATAATACAGAACCTCTCGGTGCTATTTATTTTGGCAACTCCTCTGTAAGTCTAAAATTATCTCAAAATGGAAACGTTTGAATATATTTTATACATATATACTTTATAAATATTTTATATACATATACTTTACAAATTTTGAGGTGGAGTCTTGCTTTGTTGCTAAGCTGGAGTATAGTGGCGCAATCTCAGCTCACTGCAACCTCCACCTCCCTGGTTCAAGCGATTCTCCTGCCTCAGCCTCCTAAGTAGCTGGGATTATAGGCGTGCGCCACCATGCCCGGCTAATTTTGTATTCTTAGTAGAGATGGGGTTTCTCCATGTTGGTCATGCTGGTCTCAAATTCTCAACCTCAGGTGATCCGCCCACCTTGGACACCAAAGTGCTGGGATTACAGGTGTGAGCCACCGCGCCCAGTCCTTTATAAATATTTTATAAACTATTATATATATATTTACTTATATATATGTTTTATGCATCTGTGTGTGTGTGTGTGTATGTGTGTGTGGTTTGAATTATTTACGGACTGTGGAGTTCGATAAACCTAGGTTCAAATGCCACCTCCAATGCTCAATGGCCATGTGATCTTGGGCAAAATATCTTCTCTAAGTCTCAGGTTTTTTAAATCCACAACTGAGATAATAATATCTATTTCTGATTATTACACTAAGTATAAGCATCTACTACAAATGTACACCCTGAGCAAATGGCATTATTGTTAGTTCACATTTATAATCATCTATTATTTTCTTCTCATTCATAGCTTTACCTGACTTTTAAGGTATTCAGTACAATACCTTAGCATTTAACCTTCGAAGAGTTTAAAAATTATATATGAAATTGTCAATGTTTTAATTTCTAAACTTTTTTTTTTTTTTTAAGTATCAATACTGACCAGCCTAGCCAACATGGCAAAACCTCATCTCTACTAAAAATACAAAAATTAGCCAGGCATTGTGGTGCACGCCTGTGGTCCCAGCTATTCGGGTGGCTGAGGTGGGAGGATGGCTTGAACCCAGGGACAGAGGTTGCAGTGAACCAAGATCACATCACTGCACTCTGGTCTGGGTGACAGAGCGAGACTCTGTCTCAAAGAAAATTTTTAAAGGTATCAGTACTGATCTCTATAGCACTCTACTGTTTATAACACTGAAATCAGAGATTGACTTTTTTTTTTGCCCCAATCTATTATCGCAATCCCTAACTTTTAGAGCTGTAAGGGACTTTTCAGCATTCCAACCCTTTCCTTCTATGTATGAGTGCCAAGGATATTAAATGAGTTGTCCAGGATCGTGGCTGGAAGAAGAGTTGGAATGAGGGTTCAAATTCTAGGACAGAGTACTGTGTAGGGGAACAACTCCTTACTTTGATTAAACAGAATGCATTTGAATACTCTTTATCTTGCCTACAAACAACATCTTTTGGCACAAGTTTTCCAGCAGGAAAATAGAGATCTCATCACCTGCTTCATAGGATCATTATGAGAACTAAGTAAGATAGCATATGTAAGTTCCTTATTGCCATGACTACTACCACATGTAGATTATGAATAAACATTTCTCTCACCCTCCTTTCCAAGCCTAGTGCTCTCCACTGTGGTACGATGCCTCTTCAACTATAAGGTAAAATACTAAACATACAGGTAGTTCTGTTTCACCATATGGTAAGAGGCTCATTAAAGTAAAACTGAATTAATGGCAAAGTGCTAAAACTGGGCTGAATAATATAAATCTAACGGACTTATGCCTGAATTGGGTTTCCTTTCCTACAATACTCTATGAGATGGGGCATCATATCAGGAAGCACACTATGTTAACTGATGTTTTACTGGTGATGCTAATCTTCATCATTTGACTAAACTGGTATCTGCCAGGATTTTCCACTATAAAGCTACTTTCTTTGTAAACACTAAATATTTGAAGGAAGTCATGAAATGGAACCAGAGCTGGAGGAGAGAGAGAGAGAGGGAGAGGGAAAGAGAGAGAGTGACCAAGCACCCACGTACATGGGCACAACCTCCAAAGGAGATCCTCAGCATATGTCCAACATAGTAAATAAATTAGTAATTGTATCATTGGATGATCAAAGATTCCTTTCAAGGTCATTCAGTTTTTTAAAACACTTGATGTCAAGTCTTGCCAAGAGCCCTCTGAAAGTATAAATGCATTACTATCATATGTTCTCCCTTACTTAACACATTTATTCCTTGAAAGACTTCTAGTAATTAGTCAGACACAACCTCCACTCAGAGAAATCACACAGCTTTTTCCCCAAGAACCAATATCTACTCAAGTATTTGAAACATTTTATCACAAAGTCCATCCAGCTTGCTTGTTATCACAATGAGACTCACCGATCTGCAGATACTGGGGTCCCCTCTGGATTGGAATGTCCTTCGAAATCTGAAATGTTCACTTGTATTTGCCTTGAGGTTACTATCTGGCTATTCTGAGAAGGTATAGTTTTCAAGTCCTGAGTAATAGTGTTACTGTCTGGAAGAGAAGGCTGTACGACTTGGAAATCCAGTGAAGATTTAGGTCCTAGAAAACCTAAAGATTCTTGATCCTGTACTACAGGTTTACTGGTCAATAATTTGGAGGTTGGTTCCAGTGATCTCGAAGATACAGTATGTAAGTCAAAGTTAAACTCACTATTCATCCTTGCTTTAGAAGCAGCATCCAATGAATGGCATCTTTTATCTAAAGTTCCACTATCCAACTTGGAAGAAGTCTTGGGACAAAGAGTTATACGAACACAAGAAAGTGCTTTTCTATTTGAAGGAGGAGTAGATGCAGATGTTGCTAAGGTACACTGATTTGGGGCTGACTGGGAGACCACATTATTGAACTTGGCTTCAACATTTATACTAGAAATGTGTGATTTAGGCTTATGTTGATTATTCTTTTCCACTACACAATCCTGACCTTGAGGAAAGGGAAAATGGTGTTTACTCATTTGGTCATCTACACCTGGCGCTTTGCTTTGGCATTGTTCAAGACAAATGGGAGAAGGAAGGTCTGAAGCTATAGAATCCTGACCTTGAGGAAGGGGAGAATGGTTTTCTCTTATTTGATGATCTACATATGGGGCTTTGCACTGTTCAAAGAGTTCTCGTTGTTCAAGAAAAATGCAAGAAGGAAGGTCTGGAGCTACATAATCCTGATGCTGAGGAGAGGGAGAATGGTGTTTCCTCACAGGGTCATCTGTATGTGGGGCTTTGCTTTGTTCAAAGAGCTCTCGTTGTTCAAGAAAAATGCAAGAAGGAAGATCTGGAGTTACAGTTACATTCTTCTCTTTTACTCCTAGTCTGGAACTCGATCTGCCTACTCCTAGGGTGGAACTTGGTCTGCCCATGCTAATAAGGGTATGGTTATCAGAAATTTGAATTTCCTTGAAATTGCTACAATTTGCACTGGTACTGGGCTCAGAATGATTGCCTGTAAAATCTGATCTTTCTAAGGGTTTTTCTTCTTGACAAGAATGCTCAAAATCAACAGATAATTTTTGGCTTTGCCTTCTACCTTCTGCTAAAATAGTCACTTCTTTATCTGGTGAATTACTATGCATTTTAAATGATGAAGGGGAAGAGGATTTCTGTTTAAGATCTCTAGGAGGATTTTGTTCTTCAGTGAAATGAGAATTAAATACCCCCACAGATGCTCCAGTACACTGGCTACCTTCAGTAACACCAACCTTAACAACAGAGGAATTGGAAATGCATTTAGAATGTCGGTGAGATGAAAAAGTGATGGAGGTAGTAAACTTTTTCACGGGTTCTGGGGATGGCATTTCTGTTGAAGAATGAAAATCCACTTTTTTAGGTGGCACAAAAGCAGGTTCTACTAATTCTGACAGCCAAGGGTTCATCTTTTCATGGAATGGCATTCGAAGACCTTTGCTGATTTTGAATTCATCAGGTATAAAGTTTTGAAAAGGGGAATGACTTTTTAACTGCAAGGAATTCCAAACTTTGAAATGGGAGTTGTTCTGGTCTAAGGATGCAGAAAGGTTGACGTGCTTGGCTCTACATGATGATGGGCTCTGACGTCCTCTGGTCATTTCTGAGGGTTCAGCAGATCTAAAAGCACAAGAGTGGCTATCTAGTTGTGGTTGTTCAGAAGTTAGAGTCCGGAAACATCCTTTTTCATGGCTCTCAATAATAATGTGACTACATACAGCTTCTGGCTTGCATCCCATTCCACGTGGACTCTGTAAACCCTAGAAGATATAAACAAACAGGTTCTTATTTGAAGTAGTCCAAGTAGTTACATACACATTAGTTTTATACCCACGCTAAGATTAGACCATGAAGATCATGTCATTCTTTTAGAATATAACAGGACAAAGAGCACAGCAAGAAAAAAAGATAGTTAACTACAGAATAAAAAGGCTCACAATGATTAAGACCACTCAGAGAGTTCTCCTAAAAATTTCCCACTAAAGTAAACAGCAAAGATTATTATTGTCCACCAGTAAGTATTCTCATCTTTCTTTTAATAATAGAAATCCCTTACTCAAATTTTTGCAAGCCACATAGCCACCAAGTGGGAGACATTTCCTGTTTTTTTCTGCAGCTAGTTGTGACCACATGACTAGGTTGAGGCCAATGGGATATGACTGAAGACATCAAGTACAACTTCCGCTTCCTGTCCTTAAAATCAAGTTCTTGACCTGCGTGTTCCCCTAGTATCACCACCACTATCACCACTATTTTTCTCACCTACTAAAAATGGTAATGCATGGAACAACCTTGAAGTCATGTGTAAGGACAGTTTAGTTGTCCAGCCAGCTTGGGTTCCTGGATGACATCAAGGAACAGAGCTCACTTTCCTAACATGAACAATGACGTGAAAATAAAATTCTATCTTATTTGAGCCACTGTATGTTTGGCTATTACAGAAGCTTGACCTACATCCTAATATTTGACCCCTAAGAATGGCGGGAAAAAAACCAAGACCTTGTTTCCTGGCACACAGGATCAGTACTCAAAGCTACCATAAATATAACATTTCTTTGAGGTTTCTGTGTTTTACCTATAAAGTCATTATAACTTGGCATTCTATTTGATGATATAGCAACATCTGATTCCACATTAAAATATTTTAAATTATGCTGCATCTCCCCAGGTGATGAACTAGATGTATTTTTGATGGCAGCAGCATCCTATCTGCAGTGGCTGCTGCCATGATGCCAGTTGCAGTGGGGAAGGAGCAGCTAGGGCTGCTCACTCTACTGAGCTGGTGGGAGCTGGGAACAGGCAGAAGTCCCACTCCCTTTTGAGTTGGAGGGGCAGGAACCCCACCCTCCTGGGCACAGCTGCAGCTGCCCAGTCACAGCTGTGGACCCAGGCAAGCCTGCAGTCTCAGGGACCTGGGAACTCCCCCTGCCCTTGCAGGTTCAAAAGTGCCTGCTCCCACTGTCTGGCCTCTCTCCACTCCTGGTGCCCGTTCCCATTACAGAGCAAAGTTGAGGCCAAGCCCAGGCACTGTCGCGACCCAGCCAGGTGTGCGCACACTTGGGGCAGCACTGATACACCAGCCCCCTGCCGCCCCTCCAGACACTGGGCACCCACAAGCATAGAAGGGAGGTTGCAGGGGCGGGGAGGGCTGAGGGCAGCTCAGAGTGGGTCTGCAGGTGCCCCTTGACATGAACAGCCTGGGTGTGCCACAGGTACCAGAGATAGCAGAGAGATGGCAGACAGGCTCCTGGGCAGAAAGGGGAAGGTCACCGATGAAGCCATACCTTTAAGCCAGGGATCACTTGAAGGGCTGTCAGTTCCGCGGACAGGCGAACTTATGGTGCTTTTTCTGGGCCTGCACATGGACCAATTGGCATGCACCTACTCCCCTCTGAAGCCCATAAAAATCCTGGACTCAGCCAGACTTAGAGAGACAATAGAGCTACCCACTCCGGGTTTCCTCTCTGCTGAAAGAGGCACAGATTATGGGATGACCTGCATGCAGGTAGGAGCTACCCGTTCTGGGTCTCCTCTCTGCTGAGGGCTGCACAGACAATGGGACAACTTTGCCTGCGGACAGGAGCTACTCACTCTAGGTTCTCCTCTCCACTGACAGCTGGACACTCGTTGGGACGACCTGCCTACAGAAAGGAGCTACCCACTTTGGGTCTCCTGAAAACTGTTCTGCCACTCGATGAAGCTCCTCTCCATCTTGCTCACCCTCTAGTTGTCCACATACCTCATTCTTCATGGATGTAGGACAAGAACTCAGGATCTACCAAGTGGTGGGACTAAAAGAGTTGTAACACAAACAGGGCTGAAACGTGCCCCCTCCCTGCCTGTCATGTTGCAGGGAACAAGAAGGAGAGACAAGCTGCGGCCTTTCAGGAAGCCCAGACCTAGGGGGTCCCCGAGCCAGGACTATGACACCCTCTTTGGGGTTTTGTGGTTCCTGGTGTCTTCCAAGCTTCCAGTTGCCACCATGTTTCCCTTGCCCAGATGTGGGTCCCCACAGCAGAAGCCATGCACAGTACATTTTTGGTCCAGCTGCAGCCTTGCATGGAGCCAGCACCAGTGCCAGCACCTGGAGCTGCCTGCCCCACCACAGCAGTCAGCATGCCTGGCTGTGTGCAGTGGCTAGACTCCACACTTGCTTGCCCACACACCCCTCACCACTCCACGCCTGGCTCATGTTTGGCAGGTGTAAGATCCAGCACAGTAGTGTGAGCCAAGCACAGCCTGCCAGGCCGAGTGGGCAGAACGTGCCTAGCAGGTGTGAACAATATTCAGGCAGAAGGTGCTGCTGGCCACAGTGGTTTCCAGCTTGCAAAGTGACACCCTGAGGATCCTGTGACATTTTTCTTTCTTTTCTCTTCTTCTTTGTTTAAGACAGGGTCTTGCTGTGTCACCCAGGCTGGAATGCTGTGGCACTATCACTGAAGCCTCGACCTCCCGGGCTCAGGTGATCCTAACACCTCAGCCTCCTGGATAGCTGGGACAACAGGCACATGCCACTACACCGGGCTAATTTTCTTATTTTTATTTTTGTAGAGACTGGGTCTCACTTTGTTGCCCAGGCTGGTCTCCAACTCCTGGATTCAAGAGATCCTCCTGCCTCAGCCTCCCAAAGTGCTGGGATTACAGGCATGAACCACCGCACCTGGCCAGATGTACCTTTCTCTATTTTTCCTGCTAAGTAAAATTAAGCCCACTGGAAAATATATATAAAACAAATGTAAGAAGAATCTGAAAGATGTAGAGAAGAAGGTAGATTAGCTAGAGATCTAGGGACCTGAGGAATTATCCTGTGGTGTAATCCCTGGGTTTTCTTTATCTCTTGCATACACAGACTTGGAGCTGAAGAAGTCAGCAACCCAGGAACAATGGACACAGACAAAAAACCCTAACAAAAGCTTTTCTCACTAGCTAAAAACCCAGCAGAGGTAAAGCCTAGCAAAAGAGAAAACTTTTAACTAATAACCGTTCTACTCTAGCCAACCACCAAAGAAAAAACTAGACCCACTCACACCAACACCAGCAAAGGCCAAGTGAGGAGCCCAGGACTCACTTTCATCTCTGCTGGCTGATAAAGTGCTATCCCTTCCTTGTGGTGTCCGTGAAAGTCTAGGGAAGCCTAGACTATCCAGCAAAACAAAATGTTCCCCTCTCTCCCAGCTACAGGTTAAAAGAAAACATTTGTAAACCTCATATCCAATAAAGGTCTTATATCTGCTAGACTTACATCTAACATATATATAGAACTCACAACAGTAAAAAGGAAAAAAAAGATAATCCAATTAGAAAATGGGCAAAAGATGCACACATTTCACTTAACAGGATACAGAGATTGGAAACAGAGATATGAAAAAATGTGCAACCTCAAAAACCATTAAGGAAATACACATTTAAAACTTAGTAAGATACCACTACATACCTATTAGAATGACTAGAATAAAAATAGTGACAGTATCAAATGCTGGTGAGGACATGGAGTAGATGGATTACTCACACACTGCTTGTGGGAATGTAGATGATACAACCATCCTGGAAAAAGGTGTGGCCTGTCTTTCAAAAAACTAAACATGCAACTACCACATGACCCAGCAATTGCAATCCTGGGCATTAACCCCACAGAAACAAAGACATATTCACACAAAAACTTGCACATGAATGTTTACAGCAGCTGTACTGGTAAAGCCAAAAACTGGGAAACAACCAAGATGTCCTTCAATAGTGAATATTTAAACTGTGGTGCATTCATACTTTGGAATACTATTCATCAATAAAAAAGAAAAACCACTGATAAACAAAACAATCTGGATGAATCTCCAGATAATTATTGTATTGGCTGAGTGAAAAAAAGGCCAATGCAATAAGGTTGCATACTGTATGTTATCATTTACATGACATTCTTGAAATTACAAAGTTACAGAAACAAAGGAACAAATTAGTGGTGCCAGGAGGTCAGTAAAAGGTGGGGCAGGAAAGAAGTGGAATTACCTATTATAAGGTAACATGAGCCACCTTTGTAGTGATGTAAATGTTCAGTATCTTGGCTGTATCAGTATCAATGTTGTGGTTGTGACATATTGTCATAGTTTTGAAAGATGTTACCACTTAGGGAAATTGGGTGAAGAGTATATGTGATATCTCTATATTATTTCTTACATGTGAAACTACAATTATTTCAAAACAAAATGTTGACTTAAAAAATTAAATACCACTGGACAAAATTAACACTTTAAAAATGTCATTTTTTTGCCCATCAGTGATAGACTGGATAAAGAAAATGTGGCACATATATACCATGGAATACTATGCAGTCCTAAAAAAAAGAATGAGATCATGTCCTTTGCCAGGACATGGATGAAGCTGGAAGCCATCATTCTCAGCAAACTAACACAGGAACAGAAAATCAAACACCACGTGTTCTCACTCATAAGTGGGAGTTGAACAATGAGAACACGTGGACACAGGGAGGGGAATATCACACACCGGGGCCTTTCGGGGGGTGGGGGGCAAGGGGAGGGAGAGCATAGGACAAATACCTAATGCATGCAGGGCTTAAAACCTAAATGATGGGTTGATAGGTGCAGCAAACCACCATGGCACATGTAATACCTATGTAACAAACCTGCACGTTCTGCACATGTATCCTGGAACTTAAAGTAAAATAAATAAATAAATAAATAAATATTCTGTCATTAGCTGATAAAAATAGATGTAAAAATTTTATTTGGGCAAAAAAAAAAGTTTTTAT